TTTATATATTCCTGATGCTCTGAACTATGGAGGATTTTTTTTAAGGTTTTTTGCCATGGGGAGAAACCGGAAAGACAGAGACAGTGAGAGGGAAAGTGAGAAGTCACCCCAGGGGGATGGCCACCCATGCTGCAACCCCTTCTCCATCCTCCTCCTAGAATTTCAGGTATGCACACACACGTGCCCAGTGTGAGTTTCAAGCTGCTGGGCCCAGGTCAGCTATGTGGGAGTTCTGGGCCTTAACCACCATGCCATCTGTTGACCCCTTTGTGGAGGATTTTTAAAAACAAACACTCTTGGGACCAGCATTTAGCATAACGACTATGTCGCTGGACTCCCATGTAGTCGACCTTGGTTCAAGTCCCAGACTCGGTAGCTTAAACTCACGCTGAGCGTGTGTGCGTGTGTGCCCAACATCCCAAGAGGAGAATGGAGAGGGGATTGTGGTGTGACCAAACCCCTGGGGAGTGATTTCTTGCTTTCTGTCTCTCTGTCTCTCTGGCGAGTGCACGCGCCCTATATCGAAAACCTCTCCAAAAAAAAAAAGACAAACACTCTTTTTTTTTTAAGGTCACATTCTTATGGTAGATGTGACCTGATATGGAAGCTGATTTTCTTTGCATGTTCCCTTATTAGCTGTATATAGCCGTTTTTTCTTTTTCTTTTTTTTTTTTCTTCTTTTTATTTTCTTTTATTTTAATTTTCGCCATAAGGCTATGTGCTCACTAAAGAGACAGAGAAAGTGAAAGTGAGAATTGGGGATGGCCACACTGCAGTCTCTTCTCCTCCATTCTATTCTTGAGATTTGGGACACACATGCATATGTGCCCGATGTGATTTTCAAGCCACTGGGTTCAGGACTTGAACTGTGGTTGGCCTTGTGAGGGTCCAGCACCTTAACCACTGCCACTTGCTGGCCTCCATTTGCTATAGCATTTTTTTTAAAGTTTCAAGCCCTTTGAAAAATCATTGCCTCTCAGAGTTGGCATTGACACCACCGAGAGGCAGTCAGTTAATACTGCTTCGAGTATCTGTTGATGTGGCATGGTTTTTTAATTTGCTGCATGGAGATTTTGAGATTTCCCTATTAGGACCCTGGGTTTATATTTCGTTTCTGAGTGGTATAAAGGAGGCATAGGCTGAGATGCCTTCTCTGCATAAGGACTTTGCCCAACTCTCTCCACTGTCAAGTCTTGGGCTCGGTCTGATTCTCTAAAGAGTACTTCTCAACTGAGGGCACTGTGATCCCCAGGGGATACTTGCCAGTGGCCAGCGACACTCTTTATTGTCATGACTGTAGGAAAGGCCATAGGCATCTAGTAGGTCAAGACCAGGGAGGCTGCTGAGCATTTCACAATTCACAGGACTGCCCCTTGCGACGAAGAGCTGTCCAGTCCCGTGTTAATAGAGCCTTGACTGAGAAACTCTGTCCTAAGGAAGGTGAAAGAAGAGCCAGAAGGTTTGTTTTTCAAAGAGTGAAGTTGTTACTACTGCCCTTTCGTGTTCTTCCTTTGAAGGTACGTTGGCGGTCATCGAACAAGTAAGATTATGAGGTTCGTTGATAAAATTACCAAGTCAAAATATTTCCAGAAAGCAACAGAGACAGAGTTCATCAAAAAGAAGATCGAAGAAGTCTCCAATACACCCCTGCTGCTAACTGTTGAAGTTCAAGAATGTAGAGGAACCTTGGCTGTCAACATTCCGCCACCCCCGACTGACCGAATCTGGTATGTGGAGGGGCTCTCACTGACGGCAAGAGATTCTTCTCATGGCCTGACCATAGAAACCTCAGCCTGTGTATCCTTGAGCTTACAGAAAGTACCTTTTCCAGGCAGAAGTGCTTCCTGGCGCTGTTCACGAGACCTTAATGTTAGGTGTAAATCCGATTGTGCTTTCTTCTGTGAATAGTTCACATGGTAGGAAAAGTTAAGGTTGATGTATGAAGCTTATGGGATGAACTGTTTCTGTTCTTGGTCTTCCTCTCGGAAGCTGACTTCCACCAGTAGTAGCAGTTGAGAGAGTGCTTATTCTCTGCCTGGCCTGGGCCATAAGCACATGGCCCAGTTAATCCTCGTAGCATCCGGTTGAGGAGGTCCACTCTTTAGAGAAGGGGATCACATGTTCTGTGAATTACACCTAGACACTGAGAGGCAGGAACATGTGCACTTACTTATCTGTGTCTCAGCTTAAGATGAACATTTCCAAGTCCTATGAAATGGGCCTGAGTATACAGTGATTGCATAAGAGATTTCATTGTACCATAAATTACACTCACAGTAAAAATAGAGCTCTATGTTCTGTCGTAGATTAAAAACCAACCTGCTAGTACATATCCTTGCTGCTCAAAAAGGTTTGTAGGAATAACCATAAAGGGTTTTTTAAATTGCCAGAGAGCATGTATGCTCACCAGAGAGAGAGGGAAAAAACACTTCTCAGGGGGTATGGTCATGCTGCAATCCTTTTTCTCCATTTCTCCATCCTTCCCAAATTTTAGGGACACTCACACACCTGCCTGAAGTGCTTTCCAAGCTGCTGGGGCTGAGATTTGAACCACTCAATTGACCATATGGGACATAGCTCCCTTAACAACTAGACCATAGGGCCAACCCCAGAAAATGATTTTAAAGTTGATTTAACTATTTGATGAGGATGCTGGTGGATGCTAGTAAAACTTAAAGAGAGACCAGCAGTTAGCGTATTGGCTATGTTGCTGTACTCCCATGTAGGTGACCGCGATTCGTGTCCCGGACCCGGTGGCTTAAAACTCACGCCGGGCGCGTGTCTGTGCGTGCCCAAGATCCCGAGAGGAGAATGGAGGAAAAGGGATTGTGGCGTGGCCATCTCCCCTGGGGGGTGATTTCTCGCTTTCTATCTCTCTTGGCTGGCTGGTGAGTGCACGCGCCCTACAGCAAAAACCTCTCCAAAAAAAAAGAAAAAAAAAATTAAAGATACCTTTTAGGTTTTTTGTTTATTTGTTTTTAAGCAAGATTTTTGCTATGGGATGTATGGCTCCCTGAAGAGACAGAAAGCAAGAAATCACTCCCTGAGGGGATGACCATTCCACAATCCCTTCTCCATTCTCTTCTCAGGATTTTGGGCATGCACGCACATGCACCTGGTGTGAGTTTTCTTTCTGTGGAGAGTTGTTATAGGGTGTGTGCACTCGCCAGAGAGACAGAGAAAGACAGAAAGCAAGAAGTCACCCCCCAGGGGGATGACCATGCCGCAGTCCCTTCTCCATTCTCCTCTTGGGATTTTGGGCACGCACGCACACATGTCCAGCACAAGTTTCTTTTTAAAAAAAAAAAAATAATTCTTTTTTCAAGTAATTATTTTATTTAACTATTTATTTACTTCTCTATTTATTTTAATTTTATGAGAGAGAGAGAGAGAAAGGGAAAGTGGGAAAGCAAGCCGCCAGGTTCGGGATTCGAACTGCGGTCGATCATGTGGTAGTCCAATGGCCCTAGCCACCACGCCACCTGTCAGCCCCCCGGCATGAGTTTTAAGCCACTGGGTCCGAGACTAGACTGGTTTGAGTTTTAAACCGCCCAGTCAGGACTCTAACTGTGGTCGACTACATGGGAGTCCAGCACCATAACCATTATACCATTTGCTGGTCCCTAGAGTGTATTTTTTTTTTTGAGAGTTTTTGTTTCGCTATAGGGCACGTGCACTCTCCAGACAGACAGAGATGGTTCCCATCCTAGAGTGTATTTTTTAAAAGTAATCTTTTCACTGTAAAAAGAAATGAGAAATTAGATGAAAAAAGACGGGAACCAGCAGTTAGCGTAATGGCTGTGTCGCTGGACTCCCACGTAGTCGACCGCGGTTTGTGTCCCAGACCTGGTGGCTTAGAACTCAAGCCGGGCGCGTGTACGTGCGTGCCCAAGATCCCGAGAGGAGAATGGAGGAGAAGGGATTGCGGTGTGACCATCCCCCCTGGGGGGTGATTTCTCGCTTTCTGTCTCTCTGTCTCTTTCTGTCTTTCTGGCGAGCGCACGCGCCCTATGGTAAAAAAAAAAAAAAATTAAAAGCTTATAACTGCATCATCCAGAAGTAACTACTGTTAATATCTTACTCTGCAATCTTTCAAAACTCAAAATATATATTTTTTTGGGGAGAGGTTTTGGCTATAGGGTGCATGCGCTTGCCAGAAAGACAGAGAGAGACAGAGAGACAGAAAACGAGAAGTAACCCCCCGGGGGAATGGCCACACCACAATTCCTTCGCCTCCATTCTTCTTTCGGGATCTTGAGCATGCACACACATGCGCCAGCATCAGTTTAAGCCACCAGGTCCGGGACTTGAACCACAGACAACCACATGGGAGTCTGGTGACATAGCCATTATGCCAACTGCTGGTCCCCCAAATAATTTTTTTATTAGTAAGAGGTGGGGCCAGTGAGTATGGTGGTTAAGGTACTGGATTCCTACATGACTGACCATGGTTTGAGTCCTGGACCCAGTAGCTTGGAAATTACACTGGGCATGTATAAGTGCATGCCTCAAGTGCCAAGAATAAAGGAGAAGGGATTATGGCATGAACATCCCCACTGGGGATGATTACTAACTTTCCCTCTTTCCATACATGCCCTATGCAAAAATCTTTTTGTTTCCTTTTTTTAAGTGGTTTTTGCTACAGGGCGCATGCGCTCGCCAGACAGAGAGAGAGAGACAGAGAAATAGAAAGCGAGAAATCACCCCCCAGGGGGGATGGCCACGCCGCAATCCCTTCTCCTCCATTCTCCTCTCGGGATCTTGGGCACGCATGCACACGCGCCCGGCATGAGTTTAAGCCACTGGGTCGGGACCCAAACCATGGACGACTATGTGGGAGTCCAGCGACATAGCCATTACACTAACTGCTGGTCCCCCTATGCAAAAATCTTTAAAAGCAAGAAAGAAAGGAAGAAAGAAAGAAAGAGAGAAAGAGAGGGAGAGTTGATTATAACCAGTCTTCCCCTTACTGCCAGATTTTTCTACACGGGAGAAAATAAAGACCTCTACAATAGTTCTACCTTGTATTCTCAAGTGCTGAACTAATGTTACTGACCTGTGAAGTGTCAATAGGGGTATTAAACATCTATAGCAGTTTGTCTGTTTTTCAAGTTTATTTATTTTTTCCATGAGAGAGAGAGAGACAGCTATACCCAACAGGGTTTTTCATGCCATGATCCACCCCCAGCCACTTAAGATCAGGTCAGGGTATGTGCACACACACACACACACACACACACACACACACGAACACACACATGCACACACACACACAGAGTATATTAAGGAAGGCTTCTGATTGCAAACCCAGCACCTTCGCATATAGGTTAGCCTTACAGAGTGTTGTGTTACCACTGTGCTGCCATCTGGACCTTGCAATTTGACATTTTAGTTGTATTTCTAAAAGTATTGGCTCACAGGGACCAGCAGTTGGTGTAATGGTTCCATCACTGGACTCCCATGTAGTCAACCACGGTTTGAGTCCCAGACCTGGTGGCTTAAAACTCTAGCCAGGTGCATGTGCACGTGTGCCCAAAATCCCAAGAGGAGAATGGAAGACAAGAGATTGCAGTGTGGCCATCCCCCCAGGGGGTGATCTCTTGCTTTCTTTCTCTCCATCTCTGGCAAGCGCACACACCCTACAGCAAAAATCTCTCTCTCTGAAAAATTTGGCTCTTGACAGATTCAAGTTTTTGCATAGTTTGAGAGCACACAGTGTCTTGTCCAGACACTTCACTAATGTCTGAGTACCAATGTGCCCTGCTGGGAAGCCATAAAAAGCATCGTGCGGAGTGCAGGGTGAGGCAGCCAGCCATAGAACATTGCATATCTACAAGTACGTAGCAGAGCGGGCAAAACTGACCCTGCTTCTCGTAGTGGTCCTCTCTTGGGGGTGATATTCAGAAAGAGGCAGTATCTTTCGCTTTGTTTTATTCACTTGTTTGTTGTTGTTAATTTGCTATAGGGCATGTGTGCTTGCTGGAGAAAGAGAGAGAGCACCTCCCAGCGGGGATGACCATGCACAACCCCTTGTCCTTCGTTCTTTGGGATGTTGGGCACACGTGCACAAGTACCTAGCCAAGTCCAGGACTTGAACCTTGCAGTTGGCCATGTGGAATCCAGCTGCCTTAACACCATGCCACCGGTTGGCCCTATATGCTTATATGTTTTGATTTGTATAACATACCTATACTACCTTTTTAAAAAAGTAAGAAATAAGGAGCCAACCCCATAGTGCAGCAGTTAAACCCTGTGCCAGGGGTCAGTTCTCACATGGCTGACCATAACTTAAGTCTCAGCCTAAGAGCTTGAAAACCATGCCAGGCACATATGTGTGCCTTCAAATTCTGAAAGAATGGAAAAATGAGGGAAAAGGAGTGTGGCATGACCATACCCGTTAGCAGGTGCTTGCTGTCTCTCTTTCTCTAGCAAACACATATACCCTCTGGCAATAAAAAATTTTAAATTAAAAAAAGGGGGGGGGGGAATTGGCCATGTAGCGTAGTGGTTAAGGGAGCTGGATCTCACAAAACCAACCATTGTTCAAATCCTGCCCCTGGTGGCTTGAAAAACATATTGGGTGCATGTACCCCAAATCCTGATTGGATGGAGAAATGAAGAAATGAATGCCCCTCACGTTCCATGGGGACAAGGAGTGCTTTCTCTCTCTTTCATGAGCACACATGCCCTCTGGTGATCAAAAAAGAAAAAGAAATTTTTAAATGTCATTGTCATTTTAGGGAAACCAGAAATCAGGCCCAGCTCATGGACTTTTCCAGTGGGGTTTCCTGGCTCTCCTAGTTTGTCAGAACTGTCCTCAAATCCATTGCAGCCCTAACTCCGTCCAGGAAACACCAGGAGCTGACAATTCATACTCGCTGTGTTCAATTCTTTTTAGAGGATTTTCCGAAAAAGAGAACATTTTAAGTAGCAACAGAGCCCCATGTAAATGAGGGATGTTTGCTGTCAGTGCTGGTCTGCTTCCTTTCTTTGCTTCTAAATGTGGTTATTACGTGTTTTCTTAAAAAGGTATGGTTTCCGGAAACCACCATATGTGGAGCTGAAAGCTCGGCCAAAACTTGGAGAGAGAGAAGTGACTTTAGTTCATGTGACAGACTGGATAGAGAAGAAACTGGAGCAAGAGTTTCAGGTAAACTTGTAGTGTTATCTCGTGTTCCACACCGAAGAGAAAAGCTCTGGGAGAACAGAGGCTCTCAACTCTGGGTCAGGATCCTCATTTGACAATCCGATGACAGCTGTGGACCTCAGCTGAGCAAAGTACCCATGTGATCAAACAGGGCCAGACTTTTTTTTTGTCTATTTCTTTCTTATAGCGAGAGAGAGAGGAGGCACCCTCGGCAGGGTTTTTGTTTTTTTAAATTTTTAAATATGCTATAGGGCACGTATGCTCACCAGAGAAAGACAGAAAGTAAGAAAGCATTCCCCGGGGAGATGGCCATGCTGCAATCCCTTCTCCATTCTGCTCTCAGGATTTGGGGAATGCATGAACACATGCCTGGCATGATTTTCAAGCCACCAGGTCCAGGATTCGAACCACACAGTTAACCATGTGGGATCCAGGGTCTTAACCCCCTCACCACCTGTTGGCCCTCAATGTTTTTTATAAGAGAGTATTACTGAATGTTGAGTGCATCATATACAGCTTTGTGTGGTTCTTGTTTGAAAAAAAAGAAAGCTTACATCTCATTGCTAGGATTTAAAAGGATAATTCATTTGGAATATATGTTCTGGTCATAGGAAATTGGAAATATTATAACTTAAGCCAATTTTCCTAAAATAATGTTGAATATTGGTAACCAGCTGTTAGCATAATGGCTATGTCGCTGGACTCCCATGTAGTAGACCATGGTTCGCGTCCCGGACCCGGTGGCTTAAAACTCATGCTGGGCGCGTGTGCGTGCATGCCCAAGATCCCAAGAGGAGAATGGAGAAGGGATTGCGGCGTGACCATCCCCTCTAGGGGGTGATTTCTCGCTTTCTGTCTCTATGTCTCTGTCTGTCTGGCAAGCACACACGCCCTATAGCAAAAACCTCTCAAAAATAATAATAATAATGTTGAATATTTATCAATTCATGAATAATTTTAGTACATTAAATCAAAGGCTTCTGCCTCTGAGGTGATTTTCTAGGCTATTCTTATATTCCTGCAATGGTGTGATTCCTCCCCCCTTTCTAATTTAAAATATGGTGGAGGAATTAGTTTGGAATGTGTAGGAAAAGTTTTCATATGTATTTTTAAAAGCTTGTTTAAAACCTAAAATTATCAGAACAAAATAGGGTGACAGCCTGACAAAGCATTCTTCCCACATGGCTGTTCTTTAATATCTTCCTACAGAAAGTTTTTGTCATGCCAAACATGGATGATGTTTATATCCCTCTAATGCACTCAGCCATGGACCCTCGCTCCACTTCCTGCCTCCTGAAAGACCCACTTGGGGAGGCTGCTGATCAGCTGTGATGAAGGTCTGACACACTCCCAGGACTGTGAGGTCTAGCCCAAGGTTCTTGGCTGCCACGTGTGTTGTCGCACTGGCTCACTTGTGCCACAGCTACTGTTTCTTCAAGGACTGCTTCTGCCCTCTGCCTGCTGGTGCCCATTCCACTGTGAGGTGTTCCCTACATCCAGCGAAGGTGTTTGGATTGTCTGCTGCAAAGTTTTGACTTGGCAAAGGAGCCTAGAATTATCATGGTGGATCCGGAAGTTACAGGTGACTCACACCGTGGCTTTTTAAAGCCAACCAGTTTTTGTGGCAGCAAGCGAGCACATTCAGAGCAAAGCTGCACAACTGGAAGGCTGCCCCTTGCCTCTTCAACTCCAAAGCTTTTCCTCAGGCATCCGGTGCACAACAGAACATGTTTCCATTTCTGTACTTTTAATGCATAATTGCATCTCTCCACACTCAGTCAGTGCCCCTGTGGTAGTGTGTGTGGAGGGCAGGGAGTGAGATTTTGTGAGCCATTTCATTGGTGGTAAAGACAGGCATAGACATACTTTCCTTTTCTCATATTGTGCATTTTGGAAGCAAGTAGCCATATACACACACACAGTCAGCTGAGGTGGGGACAGTGGGACTTCTGTGAACTAGTGAGAACACTAGGCTAAGCCACGAGATCAAACCATCCCAAGCCTTTTCCCAACGACGTACAATCACCTGGTTTCTAACTATCCCAAGCACATGTGAGAATGTTAAACCTGCAGGACTGGACTGCCCCTCTCACATAGACAGGGCGGGGCCAGAGAGCCAGAGCCAGTCTCTCCAACTGGCGTTTCCTGTGTGTTCCAGGAAGTTTTATACAGGAATCTAAATGCTTTGTTAATAATTGGCTTGGGAGTTTTGTGGGCAGATTCGTCTTCTGGCGGCCAAAATGGAGTACTGCTAATTGTTGCAAGCCAAGACAAAAAGTTTGCTCTACATCAAACACTACATCATATCTTGAAAGTAACTTGTGACCTTTCTTTAATGTTGCCAACTTAATTTTGTGCATTTGTGTCAGAATGTTTAGTTTACAACTTTGGGGGCCCTTTCTCTAATTGTATAATTTGCTTCAAGAAGTAAAACTTAACAATTTTTTATTGTTGAAAGCTGTATTCAATGTCAAAATTACCTTGGGTAACTTTTGATAACTTACATCTGTGGACGAAGCTAATAGTGTTTTTTTAAATAGTACCTTGCTTGAACATGACTTTAAAAGAAATTAATATATTGAACAATTATTTGAACCTTGATTATTTTACTTGCACCATTAAAACATTTGACTAAGTTATTTGACCATTCCAGTCGGTGTACTGTTCTAATTTCTCGTGGAGGCCTATCTGCCTGTCAAGAGTCCGCATGTCTTGTTCACTGGTCTTTATCATTTTTGTGCAATAACTAAAGGCAAAGGACTAGATGCACTACTGTGTAGAGGTTACACGACTGTACCCTGTTGCACTTAATCAAATAGTATGTGGGGATTTACAATCGCTTGCATTGTTTCACAAAATAAATATCTTCATGTCAAATACTAGATAAGCATCTTATTTCTACTCAATCCTGTCAACAGCAACAGAAAAAGAGCCAGTTGGGTCACATTCTGGCGATAGCCGGGTATCAACCGGGAGCAGGGATAAGGATGCAAGCCCTTTTCAGCCCGCCCTTGTAGAAGAGTGCAGGCTCCACTATCTTCAGAGCTGGAGGCCATTTAATCGCCAAATGCCTGAGCAGGCCCTCCCCACCCGATGCATCCTTGCCCTTCAGCCCTGTCACCATGTGAGAACCTGGAACTTGTGTCATGTGAGCCCAGGTTAAAGACCTTTTACCAGCTGTGTTACATGCCTATGCTGTACCAGCAAAATAGGAATCCATCTTCACAGCTACCCTTGTTAACAGTGAACAGCTTAGGCTAACTGGGATACAGGTAAATTTGCCTAAAGCTTTAGTCGCATGCTTATCTGCATGGCTAGTAATGGTAACTACGAAGCATGACATTTTAGTTTCATGCTACTCCAGACTCTGGCCCAGTCCTGTCAAGTACATAGCCGGAAAGTCTCTCAAGGGTAACCTCTTCAACCTGCATACGGCATGCACATCGCTCACCGACTCCAAAAGGACACATTATGCAACCCCCACAGCGTGGAAACATGTACCCGGACGCTGGGCCACTTGCTGCGCAGTAGAACCTGCAGCGACCTGTTGTACCACTAGGGCATTTCAGGCTAAGAGTCTTGGCCTTAAGAAACCGCAAAATTCCTGGCCCAGCCTAGCAGGCAGGTGCCAGCCCTGGACAACACCATGTAGCTTGCGTTTAAAAGGACCGCCCGCGTTAGGGACAGACGGCCCCAGTTATGCACAAGCATGTGCTCTGGCGCTGCAGCCTGGCCCCCGGCGCCACGCGCAGGCGCGGCGGGGGCTCAAAGGCAGCGCGTCACCCATGACACATCAACACCAGCGATATAAAGTCAAACCATTTTATTGGGGGTGAGAAGGCGTAGGGGTTAGGGGCGAGGACACACTTCTGGCAGAGATCAGACGTCTTCAGCCAAGCGGGATCTGCAAGAACAGCAGCGGTGGGTGAGAGGGTGTGCGTCCACCCGCCCATCCCTTCCCGGCCGCAGGTACACTCGGCTCAGACTTCAGTTCGCATCACCCGCATCAGCAGTCTAACACGTGCTTTCATTTGGGAGGTCATCACCGCCGACTGGCTGGGTTCCCCGCACCCGCCCCAGACCCCGGGGTCAACCCAACCAATACGGCCTCACTGCCTAATATACCTCACCTATAGAGCGCTGTAGTCGCCGCGGAAAGACCGAGACTTTCGCAGGACGTTTACTTAAAGGATGAGGCCGGAAGTGAGTGGGCGGGTTTGCTACTCTTAACCAATAGAAAGTCAAACTTCTGACCACGTGCATAGAACGCGGCCTGATAACTGGCTGACCTCTCTGAGTCCTCCATAGCATAGAGTGGTCGCGTACCAACCATAGAGGTGGGACTCAAACAGGTAGGAAGTGAGGCGGTTGTTAAATCCTTCCGCATTTCTTTCCAAGTGCGTCTCTTTACAGACCATGAGAAAACTTAGCAAACGACAGGAGACAAGTAATACCTAACTTTTGTGAGATATTCTATGCCAGGAACTAAGGTAGGCGCTGAGGATGCAAAAAGTGAACAAAAAAGTTCCCCTTTTTTTGTAGTTTATAGGCGACTCTCTTATCTACAAGGGATTTTTCCAAGCCTCCAGTGGATGCCTGGAACTGCAGATTGTGTGTGTGTGTTTTCCTATATATACATACGTATAATAAAGTTTAGTTTTTAAATTAGGCACAATAAGATTAACAAGAATAAAGTAGAACAATTATATTATGCTGTAACAAAGGATATGTGAATGTGGTGATTCTTGCTCACTTTCTTAAAAGATAGAACTGCAGATAACGAATCATGGAAAGCGAAACTGCGGGAGATAAACCACGGATAAAGGGGGGCTACTGGTAAGTGTCAGGTAGATCAGGGTAGTTGGTGGTGGTCACGTTTATGGCAGAGTTCTCATGCAGTGAGTGATTTGGCAGAAACCATCCATTTGGTGAATGGTGCCAGCAGGTGGCGTAGTGGTTAAAGCTCTGGACTCCCACATGGGGGCTGGTGTTTGAGTACTGGACCTGGTGGCCTGAAACACTCTGGGCATGTGTACATGCGTACTAAAAATCCCAAGAGAGGAATGGAGGAGAAGGGATTGCAGCGTGGCCATGCCCAATAGCCTCTTAAAAAAATAATAAAATAAAAAAAAAATCGCGAATAAGGGGGAACTACTATTCTGTGCCAACTAGTGTTTTGTCTCATCTTGTTTCATTTTCTGTATTTAAACCTTTAAACATTCTCTGAGGTTACCGCTCGGGTTGTTAAATATTTCGACTGTAGCAATAAGACACTTAACACGCTTTTCTTACCTCTACTCTACACAACAAATATTTATTTATTTATTTATTTATTTATTTGGAGAGATTTTCACTGTAGGGCGCGTGCGCTCGCCAGACAGAGACACAGAGACAGAAAGCGAGAAATCACCCCGGGGGATGGTCACGCCGCAATCCCTTCTCCTCCATTCTCCTCTCGGGATCTTGGGCACACACGCACACGCTCCCGGCGTGAGTTTTAAGCCCAGGTCCGGGACACGAACCGCGGTCGACTACGTGGGAGTCCAGCGACATAGCCATTACACTAACTGCTGGTTCCCCACAACAAATATTTATTTTTAGCCCAAAAGAAAATACATTAACCTTCAAAAAACTTTTCTTGGGACTAGCAATTAGCGAAATGACTATGTCACTGGACTCCCATGTAGTTGACTGTGGTTCGCATCTGGACCCGGTGGCTTAAAACACTCTGGGCGCGTGTGCGTGTGCACCCAAGATCCCGAGAGGAGAATGGAAGAGAAGGGATTGCATCGTGGTCATCCCCTCTGGGGGGAGATTTCTCGCTGTCTCTTTGTCTCTGTCTGGCGAGCGCACACGCCCTATAGCAAAAAACCTCTCAAAAAAAAAAAAACCTTTTCTTTTTCCAAAATAATAATGATTAAGTTACAGAAATGGGCATACATCGTCAAAGCATTTCCCTTTAAGGGGAACAGCTTTAAAGGATCTAAATATTAAAAGGTTAAAAAAAAAATTTTTTTTTCTATTTTGTTGCCATTGTAGGACAAAACAGAATCTATCATAAGTCATCAATATCCATTCATACTTCAGGTCCTTCTCCAGGAACTACTTTTTAAATATTATTTCCATTTAGCAAAATCTGATCTATCGTAATGTAGTAATCCTTTTTCCTTCTGGTGTGATTTCAGTAGCATAGTTGTACCTGGTTTGTAGTAGCATAGCCACCATGGCTACCCTGAAAGTGAGTGGCCTCTTATTTTTAAGACATTGTTTTGGGCCAGCAGGTGACATAGCAGTTATGTCCCTGGACTCCCACATAACTGACCATGGTTCAAGTCCCAGACCCACTGACTTTAAACACAGCACACAGGTGTGTGTGCATGCCCAGTATCCCAGGAGAACAGAGAAGGGATTGTGGTGTGGCCATCCCTCCTGGAGACATCTGTATCTCAAGAAAAAAAGGCATTGTTTCACTCTGTTCACTCCTACCTCAGCCTCTCAAGTAGCTGGGACCACAGATTGGTGCAGCTACACTCAGCCTTAAAATTACTATTTATCTAAGTTTCAAAATTTCTGCACAGCAAAATAAAGAATAATTAGGAAAAAATACAATTTATCAGTAGTGTGCACGTAGGGGTGGAAGTGTTCTGTAGGGGTCAAAGGGGAAGAAAGCTGTTAAAAACCTTATTGGTACAGTGTCCAAGGTTGTTGCTTTGTTCTTAACTTTGAAAATTAGAAACGGGGCCAGCAGGTGGCATAGTGGTTAAGGCACTGGACTCAGTTGGTCACATGAACGACTGAGATTTGAGTATGGTACATAGGGCGCATGCGCTTGCCAGACAGACAAAGAGACAGAAAACAAGAAATCACCCCTCAGGGGGGATGGGCACGCTACAATCCCTTCTCCTCTGTTCTCTCAGGATCTTGGGCACACATGCACACGCACCCTGCGTGAGTTTTAAACCACCGGGTCCAGAACACAAACGTGGTTGACTACATGGGAGTCCAGCAACATAGCCATTACACTAACTGCTGGTCCCAGTACCTGGCATCTTGAAACTCACACCAGGCGGGTGTGCTCAAAGTCCCAGGAGAAGAGTGGAGTAGAAGGGGTTGCAGCATGGCCAACCCCCTTGGAATGATTTCTCACTTTCTCTATCTCCCCAGTGAACGCATGTACCCCATGACAAAAATCTTAAAAAAAAAAAGAAAAGAAAAAGAAAACTGTACTTTAAAGATCCAGGGATGGGAACCAACAGATGTAATGGTTACATTACTGAACTCCCATATAGTTGACTGCAGTTTGAGTCCCAGACCCAGCGGCTTTAAAACTCATGCCAGGCACATGTGCATGTGTGTCCAAATCCTGACAGGAGAAGGGAAGAGAAGGGATTGTGGCTTTGCCGTCCCTCCTGGGGAGTGATGTCTCACTTTCTGTCTCTCTCTAAAAAAAAAAAAAAAAGCCAGGAATGGAAGGGACCCAAATTATTCCATTTCCCTTCCTTCCTCTCCTCTATTTCTTCTTTATTTAAGGGTTACTTTTTTTATTCATTATTATTTTATTTATTTATTTTAAGCAGAGAGGAACAGAGTGACCAAGCAAGAGAGAGAGAGAAAGTGAGAAAGCAAGCAACCAGGTCCAGGACTCGAACCATGGTTGGCCATGTGGGAGTCCAGCACCCTTTACCACCATGCCACATGCTGACCCCAACCTCTCCTCCACTTCAGCAGCACCGTCATTTTCCATCTGATCATCCTAACCTCAAGTAAGATGCAGATCATTGCTTGTTCTTTTTATTTTTTAATTTATTTTGCTATAGAGCTCATTCATGTATTCACCAGAGAGAACTGGAGAGGAAGTGAGAAAGCATCCCCACCCTCAGGGGGAATGGCCACACGGTAACCCCTTCTTTCTTTAGGATTTTTTTTCTTGAGAGATTTTTGCTGTAGGCCATGTGCACTTGCCAGAGAGACAGAGAGAGACAGAGAACAAGAAATCACCTCCCAGGGGGATGACCACACCATAATCTTTTCTTCTTTCTCCTCTCAGGATCTTGGGCATGCACGCACACATGCCTAGCATGAGTTTTAAGGCACTGGGTCCAGGACCTGAACCATGGTAGACTATGTGGGAGTCCAGCAATGTAACCATTATGCCATTGCTGGTCCCCTCTTTTTAGGACTATGAGCACACACCTGAACTGCACGGTTCAGGACTTGAACAGTACAGTCAGCCTTGTGGGATCCAGCTATGTTTACCTCCATGCCATCTGTTGGCCCTCAACAAGCATATTAAAAGTCCCTCTTCTGTGCTTGATTCTGTTCAGAGCACTGAGAATTTGAATATGACTAAAATAGTCCCTGTCCTCTAAGTGGGCCACAACCAAGCTGGGAATAAAAAAGAAATCCTACAGGGGCCAGCAGATGACAGAGCCGTTATGTCACTGGACTCCCACATAGTCGACTGCAGTTTGAGTCTCAGACCCGGTGGCTTAAAACTCATGCTGGGCACGTGTGTGTGCATGCTCAAAATTCAGAGAGGGATTGCAGTGTGGCCATCCCTCCTGCAGAGTGATTTCTTGCTTTCTGTCTCTCTGTCTCTCTGTGTGTCTCTGGCAAGTACATGCCCTATAGCAAAAAAAAAAAAAAAAACAAAAAACAAAAAAAAAAAACCTTAAAAACAAGAAAGAAAGAAAAAGAAAGAGAGAAATCCTGAGCCAGTGTTTTAAACAGGGCTATTGGTTGTTAAGTGATGGAAACTGAACCTAGACTAGCTGGTAGAAATGGAAAGGTTTAGCTCACAAGGAAAGGAGAGCTGGGCAGGTGAATTTCAGGCCAACCAGAATCAGAACTCAGACTTGCCCAACGCTCTCTAGGATGTTTGTCTTTCCTTGTCAATGTCTTTCTTTGGAATCAGATTTCTTTATAGGATAGAGACAGTTCCTAGGCCTGATGCCTTCTGGCTTTGCCACCAGAAAGGAAGTGCCTTTGCATAGTTCTAGCTGGAGTCAGAGTGGGTATAAGCCTACCCAAGGTCAAACAAAGGTGCCCTGAGGGGTAGCTGTTTTGGTAATCTACTGTATTACTTCATAACAAACTACCCCATAACTCAGTGGTTTAAAACAGCCATTTTATTATTCTCTCATAAGCCTATGAGTTGACTGGGCTCAGCGGAGAGGTTCTTCTGCTCCACGTGGGTTCAA